CTCAACACCCACACCTTCTCCTGCCGAAAGAAAACCAGGAGCCCACAGAGCAACGTGTAACACAGATGGAAAACGGGGAGGACCGCATTGAAAGATGCTTCTGGGTCAGGGCTGTGCCGCTTCCCCGGTCCAACAGCACCATCTCCTGGGTGGCCTCGGCCGCTCGCCCGGCTGCCGGCGGCTCGCCCCCCAGCATCTTCCCGGGAACAGCCTCCACAGCTTCCCTCTGCCATCAACCCGTCTCCTCTCTTTGTTTTCCTTTCAGGCGCTATCAATATTTTTGCAAATGTTTCCTTTCACGTCCTATTGCTCGTCTCTCATGGAGTATCACAGATGGATGAGTAAATAGATGAAATACTGAAGGATTCTAAGATCTGTGTATTTTTTTTAAAATCAGCATTAAGAAAAGCATACAAGACAATAAAGCATACAACACATTTTTGAATACCAGCCCTAAATCTGCTCTCTTCCTGAGCTGTGAAGGTATAAATATGTACCCAGTCTTCATGGAACACATCCTCTTTGAAGTAATCAAAAAGTGCTGCTTCTCAAAGAATACCTGTATTATCTTCAAGAAAAAAAAAATCTACTTGAAGATCTGTTTAGAGTTTAGACAAGTGAAATGATGGAAAAGAGCAGAAATGGTAGATTTCATAGTATTACCATCCAACGGGGAAATCCTGCCTGACAGTAGTAGTATTTCAAAGATACTTGTAGTGTGCATTTGAAAACTCTAAAAAGCTTGCTGAGATACACCCTGTAAAAGTGTGTGGCTTTCACTCACTAGATCATATATTTAAGACTAAATGCTCCAAAACGTTATTCTCTCTATAGCTATTACCATACAAGTAACAAATCACTTCTGTATTTCAGTTTTCATTAGTCTGCAAAGTGAAGATTTGTTTCACTCTTTTGACGCTAAACTGTACATAAAATCCTTCATGCTTTGAAGCCTGTGCTTATATAATAAGCAAAAAAAGTTAACATCAGTGATTTTTTTCTAATTCAATGTTCATCCAAAGCCCCTTTAAACTTAATCTAAATGCCTGGCAAAATTTTACAGAAGCACTTCTTTAAAAAATGCTAAGTAGGTCCCTCGTGCAAGCTTTAAATTAGGAGGGACAACACACAACTTTAAATACAGACACACATGCCTACACCTGTGCAGTCTCCTGCAGACTGCAGGAGCAGTCTCATGGATTTTTGTGTAAAATTGCTGCAACAATGAAAAGAAAAAAAGTATTTTCCCTGTTGTTTGCTAAATTAACATCTTTTAGTGGCAAAGTTGTTTCAAAATTCATATTGAACTTGGCCTTTGGAGTCTTCTTAGATAATTATAAACCATCACCACCTGCATTAAGGTACTTAAGGTAAACAAGGTCCTTTGGAGATTACACGTATTTCTACAGCTAGAAAAAACATTTCTAGTGACTCCCTCCATCTTTAAAGATGTTTATTTATTTACTCTGATTCTAAAGGTCTTAAAACATTAATGTCATTTGAGAATAAATGTCACCCTTAAAGGGTTTTGTTTCTTCTTGAAAGGGGAGTATAAGCCAGCAGCCTGCTGTCTTGCCAGCATTTCTATGATCCAATTAAGATGTGATTCTCCAAACTGGGAAGATACAAATGCTTGTTGATTACATACATCACTGTGCATTCATCTCAGCTACACCCTATGACCACCACGGATTTTATGGACTACAATGGTCTTTGTAACCAAAACTCTTTGCTCCTGGCCTACTTCCTCACTTCCAGAGAATCAAGGCATAACAAGAAGCTGGATGATCGAAAATTGTTGAAAAGAAAACCTGAATCCAGTTAGCCATTTTAGTCCTATTTTCTGTGTAACTGGAACCTGCTTTCCCTGGGGGATTCCAGGAAAGCAGTTAAATCATTGAGGGCTTTCTATAGCCATGATCAGGTCACATCAGAAACAGCACTGCTTTGACAGAGGTATTGAATGGAACAACCAGCATCCCGAAGAAAAAAACCAAAACCAGATAATGAACCACAGCCCTTTACAGAGCAGTGTGTTCATCTCAACTCTTTCAGCCAAAAAGCAAGCTTGACCTACCACCAGCACCATTAACAATCCAAACCCTTTCCACTCTCTTTGCTCTTTCTTACTGTCTTTCCACCTTTGCTCACAGATTACTTAATTTAGAGAAGACTCATATCTTGTAAGTAATCAGTGGGTTTTTTTCTTCCACTGTCCTGTAATATGGATATTGAACAACCCCGTGTAAGATCTGGTTTTGCAGAAGGGATGTGCAAATCAGATTAGACAGGGATATATTGATCAGGCTGCCAGCTCTGCTTTTCAATACTGCCTTTCTTAAATGCAGGCACTGCCAGGGTCTTACTGGGATTCTTGGTGACATCTCAGGAGAGATTTTCCTTGGTACAATTCTTTGATTTCATGTTCTCAAGCTTGGTTGCTTTCCATGCACTTTGTTAGTATTGACAGATTCCCAGAAAAGTCCTGCCAAAGATTTCGAGCCTAATTTTTTAAGAGAACCAGAGAACTCAGTGAGAACAGGAAAATAAGCCTACATGTTTGTCAGACCTAAAATAAAGGCATTTAAGTATTTCAGGGCATTTAGATGGTATAAAGTTATTTTTTCAGAGCAGACAAGCAATGAAGAATATTGACCATGTCCAAACATTTGCTAGCAAAATTAAGGCAAGTCATTAGGGCTGAGAAACACACTCACAATGTAATCTGTTAATATTCCCTAAGCTGTTAACAGCTGTTTTCTCAGGAAAACAACTTTTGTGTTAATTTATTTTAATGCTCCCAACACAAAATTAGCAGCACAGTAGCGAGTGTTTGCAACCTGCTTCCTTCTGCTCCCCACCAGGACCTGCTTTGGTGAAGGTATAAGACAGTAGATCAGCTTTGGAATATGAAATGAACAATCTCATTTGCTTAAACCAGAGTATCTTGTTTCATATCTAAGAGGTGTGAACTGCTAGCAAATACAAAAGATTATCTTAATTTATGATCTGGCAGATAGGTTGGTCCGCTCAGTTCAGCCTTTTAGCACAGCAACAACACCAAGGGCATCCTCAGAATAAAATGTAAATAATGGTTTCCAGTTTGGCAAACTGGCTCATACTACAACCCTGTAACAGAATAACAATCCCCCATAAATTTACATGCATTCAGAAATATCTCACCCTAAGCTCTCAGCAGGGCAAGCCAGC